ATTTCTCAATTGTTGGAGTTATACTTATAAATTTTAATAGCAAGTGCTTCTCAAAGTTAAACGCTATAACAGAGAAAAATACCTGAAAATGTTGAAATAGCAAAATACACACTCATGGTCCATAGTCCCGTATTTTATCCTCGGGACATGGTCACATACGACAAGCAGACATATGAATAAATATAAATGCTTCAGTTGCAGAGAGTTGATCTACTCAAAGTAATTCACAGACTCTGGAGTACAAAATAAGACTTAATCTACTAAAATACATGAATTCATCAAGGTTGAAACCACCTATTAACCCATGCATTTTACCTTAGCGACATGGCCAAATATCACAAGCACAAATACGAATAAATCTACATGCTTCAAATGTAGAGAGTTGATCTACACAACGTAATTTACAGACACTAGTAGACTGCAAAATAAGACTTAATCTATTAAAATACATGAACTCGTCAAGGTTGAAAGCACCGATTAACTCACGTATTTTATCCTAGAAACATAGTTACATGTTACAAGCAGAAATAGGAACAAATATAAATACATACTTCAAATGCTGAGAACTTATCTATTCAACGGAATTTACATACACTGGTAGAGTACAAACTGGGGCTAAGCTACTAAAATACAGGAACTCATCAAGGATGAAACCACGCATTAACCCGCGAATTTTATCCTAGAGACTGGTCAAATGTTACAAGCAGAAATGTGAATAAACATTACCCTTCAAAGTCGAAGAACTGATTTACTCTACGAAATTTACAGACACTGGTATAAAATGAGACGTAAACTGCCGAAATACATAAACTCATCAAGGTTGAAACCATAAGCCGTGTATTTTACCCTCGAGACTTGGCGAAACACAAGGTCCGTCCGAAAGAACGCATGTTTTTCGAATGGGTACTGCATCAAGTGGGCTGGTCCCGTGTCGGTGGGGAAGGGCGTGTTGGATAGTGGGAGAAGTTCAGTTTCAGTTGGTAAGCTGGTTTGGAACGTTGAGCATCGTATGTTCACTGTACGTCGGTACTTTCAAAATGGCGAGTCTGTCGTTAGAACGCAACATGAGTTTCGCGTTCACTTTCGTGTTCCACGCCGTGGGGCAGTACCAGACCGTAACACCATTTTGAGATGGGTGGAGGAATTCATGTGATGAAGAAAAAACCGCCAAGGCGAAACCCTACTGTTAGAACCCCCAAAAACGTAGACAACAGAGTGAGAGTTGACACGCTCCAAAGCCCGAATCGTCCGTTTGCGTGCCAGCTCCATAGGGATCCACGCGTCCTCTGTACGTCGCATCTTGAAGAAGGATCTAGTGTTCCATCCTTACAAAATCCAAGTTTGTCAATACTGTTGCCAGGGGATTATGCACGTGTTATTTTGCACAGCTCATGATTGAATAGTTGGATAACAATGACATGACGTTGTTTATGAGTGATGAAGCACATTTTCATTTACATGGATACGTCAATAAACATAATTGTCGATATTGGTCTCCAGGTGACCCCCGACAGTTGCATAAGCACCCCTTGCTTACCCCGAAAGTTACAGATAGCTGTGCAGTAGGCCCAACGATGATTATTGGTCATTATTTTTTTGAGGATGATGGAGAAACAACTACAGTGAATTCAGAGCATTACATCCACATGCTGAACAACTTTTTTTGTTTCCGGAACTTCGACGTCGACGTGTCCGTCTCAGAACAGTGTGGTTCCAACAAGAATTGGCAACATCCCACACAGCTCGCACATCGATAGAACTTCTTCGGAAAAAATTCCGAGGACGTCTAATTTCACGTCAAGGCGATATTCTATGACCCCCTCGCTCCCCGGACCTGTCAACGTTTGATTTTTTTATGGGGCTACCTGAAATCAAAAGTTTACCAAAGCAAGCCTCGGACCCTTGTCGATTAGAAGGAGGAAATAAGAAGAGAAGTAACCCAAATTCCTGCACGGATGCTGGCCGACGCAATGGGCTCATTTCGGGAGAGGATTGATTCCTGCATTTCGGTTCAAGGGCGCCATATGGCCGACATAGTTTTTAGAACATATACATATATATATATATATATATATATATATATATATATATATGGCGAGTTTCTGCAATCTAAGGTCGCTTCTCGCAACTCATACGCCATCGTATCCTATCGTTCCAGTCTCCTTCATGTAGTCCTCTACTTTCCATTGCGGTATGGATGTTTGAAGTCCATTTCCTTCGTGGTCTTCCTCGTTTATTTCTTTGTGTTGGTGTCCATTTCCAAACCCTTAATGGTATCCTTTCTTCGTTCATTCGTTGCAGGTGTCCATACCATTTTAACTGCCTCTCTGTTATATCGTCCATTATTGTATTTTCGACTTCCATTCTTTCTCTGATGGTCTCATTTCTAACATGGTCAAGTAAAGTTAAACCGGAACATCTTCTCCAGTACATCATTTCGGTTGAGACATATTTTTATCTACAACCCACGCTTCTGACCCATACGTCAGTACTGGCTGAATCATAGCCTGATATATAATTTTTTTTGTTTTCTTTGTTAGGTTCTTACTCCACAAGATCGGATGTAGTGCTTTAATCATATTTTTTCCTTTTCCTATTTTCCTTAGTATGTCTTTATTATCCTTTCCGCTTTCATCTATTGTAACTCCTAGGTACTGGTACTGTCCGACGTTTTCTATTTTTCCGCTTCTTGTTTCGATGTCTTGTCCTGTGCCTCCTATAGTCATGTATTGTGTCTTTTGTATATTTATCTCCAAACCCCATTTAGTGAATTCTTCTATAAGTTTGTTTATCATGTAAGTCATGTCTTGCTGGTCTTCTGCAAAGACTACCTGATCATCTGCAAAGAGGATTGTATACAAGTGAAAGTCCTCTAACCATATCCCCATGGGGCTGCACTTTCTTATCCACTGTTTTAAAGCGCTGCAGAGATAAATTTTAAACAGGGTTGGAGAGAGGCAGGAGCCCTGCTTAACACCTTTTGTTTGTGGGAAAGCCTCAGAAATTTGATTTCCGACTTTAACGACCACTTGATTTTCTCTATACATTGCTTTTACGGCGTTTATGTATTTGCTATTTATGCCTGCTTCTTTCATTGCGATCCATAATTTCTGCAAAGAGACGGAGTCGAATGCCTTGCGGAGATCTATAAAAGTAGCGTGTAGCTCCATTCCTCTTGCTAATCTCTTTTCTGTCAGTTGTTTTATTGTAAATATGTTGTCGACACAGGATCGCCCAGGTCGAAATCCACTTTGTTCTTCAATTTCCGTGGCTTCGTCTTCTATTCGGGCTGTTAGGACTCTTTCGTACAGCTTTCCGATGGACGATGTAATACTAATACCCCGATAATTAATACAGTCACTCCTGTTTCCCTTTTTATAAATGGAATTTATGTAAGAGCTCCTCCAATCTCTGGGAATCGTTTCCCCTTCCAGGCACTTGTTAAAAATTACACAAAGTAGCTCGTGCGTTCTTGTGGTGGCGTGTTTAATTAACTCGATAGGCAAATCCCCCGGTCCCGGAGCTTTATTATTTTCCATTTTTTGTAATGCTGTTTTTATTTCTTCTAATTGAATGGTATCTACTCTGTTAACTCCCGTTTGATCTATATCTAGTTGCGTGTCTAAATACTCTCCACGTTGTTCTGCCAGTAGATTATTGTAGTAGTCTTTCCACTGTTCTATTTTTATGGGATTTATTTTTCTTCTTTCATTCGTGTTTGTTTCAAGACCATTTATAGTTCGCCAAGCTTCTCTAGACCTAGATCCTCCCACCATTGAGCTAATTTCAGCACATTTGGTTTCCCATGTTTTGTTTTTTATTTTTTTAATTTCTTTTTTTACTATATATTTAAAACGATTATAGCTTTTTCGATCTTCATCGTCTTTTGTAGTTAACCATTTAAGATATAAGTTTTTCTTTTCTTCTACCAGTTGGGTTAAATCGTCTGTCCACCAAGAATTTTTGTGTTTCGTTCTATCTTTAACACCAAGGGCTTCTAGTGCTGCTTCGTGAATTTTGTGTTTCAAAGTTTCATACATTTTCTTTTATTCAAAAAATGGCTTGTATTTCTGAGTATTTTGATATAATAAAATATTTTCCCATACTTATTTTGACTGTACTACTCATTTGAAAAACATGCGTTCTTTCTGACGCAGCAGAAAAACGAAAGCTTTGAATGCAGAGCTACTCCACACAATATACAGACACATATAAAGTACAAAACAAGACCTAATCGCGTTTTAGTCGTATACACTTATTTGAGATTACATCAAATATGAATAAGTAGAATATGATTTATATGAGCCATGAGGCATGCAACCATGAGCAATTATGAAATGCGTATTGAGATTAGAAATTATTTGTTGAGTTGGGGTAGGATGTTTCTAAAACATGAGACAAATTCAAGAGGAGGTTCGGCCACTGAACGAAACCACTGGAAATCGTTTTAATAGCTTTGAATATCACCGTAGAATCTAACGAAATTTTTGACATCGTAGTAACTAGTTCAGGCCCCACGTGATGGTGTTCATGGAAAACAACTCATTTAGTTTGTCGGAGACTGACTAGTTCAAATGCAATACTTCAATTATTTTTAAATGGCCTAAAAGAAAATTTTTTGGGAAGAATGATCATGCATCTGAAAGACGTAATATTAAATTTCGTTAATATAAACTATTTTTGAAAAACATTATTGTTTCAATACCCCCACAGATTTACTCTGCACCAATCCCAGGATCTTTATGTTGAAGTGATTTATTTTTTTTTTTTGGTCGCTGCTCACGAATCTTCTATCAAAATTACTGTATTTTAAAAATGGCAGAACCAGAATCGATAAGGCAGAATCTGAGTAAAGTATTTCTTTATTTTATCTAAATCAAACAGACACAAGATCAGGCTTACAAAAATTATTAGTTTGGAGCCATTATTATAAAAACTAGCAATATTGCACTTGGAGTAGTCGGGCACTGGCGAAATAAATGAGTTGTTTTGCATGGACGCCAACATGTGAGGCCCCAAGTATATAGTGTGCTGTAAAAAATTTCCCTGGATTATGAGTTCAAAAGCTATTTAAGAAAATGCGTTTTCCACTGTCGTCCTTCAGGGGCCTGTGAAGGACAAAATAGTCATAGAATAGCCCAAAGATTCATCCCTTGAATTTTTACCCCTTATTTTGTAAACACCCTGTACAGTATTGGAACGCTATTTTTGATCTTTTTTGAAGTACCTCCCAAATAGAACCACAGGTTACCCCCCAAAATTAGTATTAGGCAGAACGTTAGTTAAAAGTTGACTCGCAGATCGATTAGGTAAGGTGATGCAACCTGATTCCAGTCACAATAAGGTGTTTGCACATTACACAAGGACAAATAAGAGCTTGTGTTCTAGCCAAACTCGCAGAGGTATGCCTGATGTTTGAAAAAACTTGAATTCTAAATCGACAATTTCCTTTTGTTACTGGATACTCGACAAAATTGAGTAATCTCTTGTGTAAGGCTCTAAAAGCTTATTACCTACATAGGTAGATATTAGGTTTTTAACAATTTCCAAGGAGGTGGAACCAGCTGATTTTTGAAGTAGGTGAACTAGAAGATAGACAACCCGATTTAGGAAATCGACGGTCAACACACAACTTTAGGACTAACAGCAATGTTACCAAATGGGATCGGAGTAATTTCCTTAGGAGTAATAAAAATATACTAATATTTTCCTTCAAAAAGGACTAGTTAACCGACAAGCGGCAATGAGGCGAGACTACCCGTAACTGGTAACGACGTTGCGAAAGTAAACTACAAAAACAAGTAGATGGCGCCACTAGTGGCGACCTACCTCAACATGTGACGTCATCGCCGGCGATGATGACTAAAAGTCAAATCAAAGGAAACACAGGGATAGAGATAAAGTTACATATTAGTCAGAACTAAAGATACACGACCTGGCTTGAGGAGTCAAGTGTGCAGGTTCAGCTGAAGAATACAGAGCAATATTGAGCAATACTGGGAAATCTACAGTTCCGAAGTACCAATGATATTAAACAACAGTTGTGACCGCAATAGTGAATGAAAATGAAAGGTGAAGCGATTTGAATCCTAGATGGCCGTTCAAATGGAACAAAGTCTGTCCATTTTTATCACAGAAAATTTTTGTATGAATTCCTTAGGTAATTTTCTATACCATTTAGGTAGGGATAGAGCTTGGTATTTCATCTCTAGCCGATTTACAATACCTTTATACTCGACTTTCTTTTTTAAAACTATTATAAATGAATTAATACATGTTGCTAGAACATGTCTGAATCGCATCCTTCCGGTGCATAACTTTCCAATATTTTTGATGTGTTTTTTGAATAAAATCTTAGTATAAGAGTCAATTATTTTATCCACAATAATCTCTAACAAATCCATACATTCTTTTTGGCAATAATTTACCGATGAAACGGCAAAGTGGAATTTGAAGGCTAGGTACATCATACCGTCACCAATATTTTTTAACAGCTTTTCCTCGCTATTAAAATTTGTATTTATCGTCAAATTGCTGAAACAATGTTTACTGCAACTGTATTTCAAGGCGCTACTTATTATGAGCTGCTCTTCGTTAGGATTTTTTATTTTTAACCAGTTATTTTTTATAATGTTTGGACTGTCTTTTCGCAAAGGTTTGAACCTATGCCGATTTACCCTTTTTTGGTCGTATGATTTGCTGACCTCCTTAGTACGAATATGAAATTCATGCCCGCAAAAGTTAATAATTGGACTATCTTGGATAGATTTTTGTGTTTTGCTATTATTGATTTTAAAATAACCACCTATGGTATCCTCAAAATTGCTTATATCTTGTAAGTTTGTAGAGCAAAAGAAATAATCGTCAACATGACGGAAAATAAATGAGTGTTCTGTTTCAAAATCGGCCAGTATTTCATCTTCAATATTTCTTATATAAAGCTCACACAATGAGGCGGATAAGTAATCACCCTGGATTAATCCATGGTTCCACTTGACAGGTACCCCATTCAAACTTACATACTGGTTTCTGACATGATTGATCACAGTCATTTTAACACTGTCTTCCAAGTCACTATTACTGATTATTTCACAGAGTTTGTCAATATGGACATGACCAAAAGCATCATGTAAATCAATCTTTATTGCATGAATCTGCGTTTTACCAATGTTGGCTGTATACATCTTCCAGCATTCATAAAGTTGTCCGTTGAAACATTTGCATTTTACTTTGTAGAGACTTTTTATTTTTGAACCTAGTTTTTTAAATTGGCTTCTCATGTTTCTGTGAGATTCAGTAGGTTTCATTATAGCCCTAAAATCTAATGATTCACATTTATCTTTAGGATACAGTGTCAGCGTCCCTATAGTTTCTACCTCGTGACTCACTGCCACCAAATATCCAGAGCTAATCAGTTTATTTCTGACTTTATACTGGAAAATTTGCCAAGAATTTCTTGGATAAAAATTAATTTCATGTGATTTGGGGTTGCGAATATGTTTATAGCGGGATGTAATAAGTGGTTTCAAGATCAATTCTAGTAAATAATATATTGCATTAAAAACCTGGTTCCTTGGTGGTAATTGGGTATTGATATCTACCCACTCCATTGCCAGCCAGTCATACCCTTCATGAAGTTCAGAGGCCGGAACACATTCTCCATAGGATTGCGTTATGATTTTATTAACCAATCTGTAGAAGACTTTCTTGTTCCGCACATTCCCATAACATCCCTCGTCTATAATCTGTAAATTAAAAACTGCATCAAAGATTGAGTCATGCCATATTTAGTTCTTAAAGGTGCATTACAACAAAGTGACGAACAATAAGATAGCCATAGTATGCATACCCAGTTGGACAGATCGTGGTTGTAAAGTTATGACATAAAAAATTGTCAAAATCGATAAAACACCTTGTATCACTTTTTGCTGATGAAATATGGGCAAAAAACAGTCACCGATAGTCAATGATCTGTGGCGTGCAATAGCTGTCCTTTAGCCATTTTGTGTGCGGGGTATTGGACATAATAGTTTTTCTGGTCCTGCGCATTACATACCGAGTTTTTCAGTAAACAGAAAAACGTGGCAATATGTCTAGGATATAAAATACTATTGTTGTACACCCGTACACCCTCAGTTTTGAGTAAATCGTAATAAACCAATAAGAATGTCTAAAAACCGCAATAATTGTACGTTTCTCCGCCTGGATAAAATGTGTTTTTTATGTATTTCAATGCGCTAAACATAAAATTATAATTTTTCTTCAACAACCAATCCCAAAATTAATTTTAGGATCAATTTAAAATTGCCGAATACTAACTAGCAATGCCAAGGTACCCCTCAAATTGGTGCACTTCTTTTTTCTTTGCTCTCCCTCCTTCCTCCCTTCCTTTCTTCTTCCCTTCTTTCTCCCTGACTGTTTGGTATCTGGGCAACCAGACCTGACAGACCTACTGACTTACAAGACTTCAACCAAGAGCAAATGTCCTACGGACCGCTCTGACAGACAATGACGAATAGTTCAGCGTAGCAGAACGAACAGAATTTGTATGGCGGGATCTTGAACACGATCACTGACAGGTAGGCGACACCTATACGAACAGGGCTCTAAGCTGCGCACTATTGCCCAACAAACAAATTAATGATGCTGGATCCCTGGAGTACTAAGGATTCCGAGGAAACAATATCGAAGATAAAAATTTGTTCACGAACATTTGCGTGATTAACAGCAATATTGATTATGTTCATCACTACTTGCAAATCCAAACGTCCCACCATCCTTTTTTTCACGGAGTCAAAATCTCAGATTCTGCACCGATTAAGCATCTTAGCTTCCCAAATTACGAGGTGTACTCCAATCTGAGAAAGAATGGCTTATACCCGCAGCAGTCTTTTCTGCTCCAGAGACGTTTCTTTGGAATCAGACCTGAAGGAGATTCTGTGGTTCGCCTCAACTCCAAAATGTCCCACAAATTTATTCGCTGCCTTTATCGCTCTCCCTCGGACCATAACTGGGATGACCTCGCCGTCACGATCGACTTCCTGGACATCAATCAGCCCGCTTCAGAGGTAGTTCTCCTCGGTGATTTCAATGTCCATAATGAGCTTCGGTTCCTGCATCCCGTCCCTTACAGAACTACTGTCCTGTCCCCCTGAGTAACTCAGACCACGATGCTGTGGAGGTTAGGTTTCGGTCAGAGCCCGATGTGGCAGCAGAAACTCGTCCAGTCTGCAAAATTTAGCATTACGGACATGCCGACTGGGAGGGGCTCAGAGACTTCTTCTCTAGCGTTCCTTGGAGAAATGTTTGTTTCGCTGCCGCGTCGGCTCTCTGTTTTTCGATAACCGAAATTATCCACGTCGGGGTGGAGGAATACATCACTCATACAGTGAAAGTGCCTAAGCCATCAGGGTCCAACGGCTGGTTCGAGAAAGGACGCTTTTTGTTCGCCAAGGTACAGCACTGTATTTTGGAAGCATTAAAGTATACAAGATTGTTGCGAGCCCAAGCAGTGATGACCTCGAGGTCTCTTGTCAGAGAGGAAGTCGTCGCTACACTTCTTTCTTCTCAGCGGCGGAGATCGGCGTGTCACTCTGAATTCCTGCATATAGAGCACCCGTCGCTCGACATCGACGGGTGCATTTGCTATTGGGTAGCGGTCGCCTTGAGTGTGTGCTTGACAATACAATAATCTTGACATGGCTTAGGCCCGGTTTTTCAATCGCAAGTTAACTTTTTGGTTAGTTAACTAACATGATAGTTCGATTGAATGAAATTTCTTAAAACAGCCAAATCGAAATCCGGAAATTTCATTAAGAACCAATAAAATATAAAACCTTCGTCAAGCAAGGTAAGTTTTTTCAAACATTGTTCGTACAAATGTTTACATTGTTCGTACAAATGTTTAGTAGTAGACCCTATAGACAGCATTATAGAAATGGTGACAAAAAATTTTGCAAATGCAATGTCTAATGAACCATACTAACGTCAAAAAACAATTAAGTTGTAAATATCTGCTAAATATCGTATTTCCCACCTTTTTTGTATCACTCCTATAATCTACAATCCAAAAATAAAGGGGATACACAATACCTTTATTCTTGTTGCTAAAATTTCTCAAAAACTGTTTTCTAGCATGGAGAAAGAGATCAAAAAGAAAGCTCAAAATTTCTCGAAGAATGAGGAAATGATGCTAATATCATCGGTGAGCAAAAAGAAAGATGTAATAGAGAGCGAAACAAGTGGCACAGTTACGTGGAAACAGAAAAGTTCAGTATGGCAGAGCATCGAACAAGAATTCCAAGCCCTAACAGGGTGCCACCGAGAGGCAAAAACTCTACGAGATAAATATTGCAATTTAAAGAAAAAACAAAAAGCAAATTTCCTACAAACAAAAGCAATATAATCAATACAGGGGTTCATGCCAATTGCAAGCATTCGATTTGATTGATACACAATTACAAGAAATAAAGGGACCACAATTAGAAGATTTGACAAACAATTATGATGATGACTGTAGTGACCAAGAAGAGGTGGTTATTGAACATGGTAAGTCGCATTGCTGTTGATTGAAACATTTTTTTAATTATTCATCTTTTAGTTCCTGATGCAAAGAACTGTGATGACAGTGAAGTGGTCTTCAAGAATGGGAAATGGAGCTCCTATACTCCCCAACAACTGAAGAGGCCAAAAACTACAAAGCTATCATACATGACAGTACAAAATAAAAAATATATTTCTGTTAACTATCTACTAATGGAAGAAAAGCTGAATTTTGTGAAACTACAAAAAGAAAAATTCATCGAAGAATACAATAAAAAAATGGAAATATATCAAAAAAGGTTCAGCTGTTAGATTTACAGATCAATGCATTGGATAAGTAGAAAACAAAGAATTTATTTTGTTAATTTAGGGAATATTTTCACTTTCACTATTTTTTTTGTATTTCGCATTTTTGAGGATAATATGTTATTTTAATAATAAACTGTTTTCAGAAAATCATGTTTATTTTCATTCTGAAGTTACAATAAATGTGGGATAATTCATATGTCAAGTAGATGAGAGCTATGTTGAAAACTTTAGGTGTCCAAAAAGATCGACTGAGTGTCCATTTTGAGGTTTGGGACATCTATTTTCAAATGCCGTGTGCGCCTTTTCTGGGCACCAACAATTTTGGCCACAAGTCTTACCCACTTGCCATGGATTATCACAGATCTTATACTAAACAACTTTTATCTAGTATCGAGTCATTCACTGAGCATCAGTGAATGTATTGAATCAATTTACAAGTTTGCAAAATAATTATTAATAAGGTAAGTTCTTATAACATTGTTGATTGCATTTTGTGGCAACCTAATATTTACAGGATTTATCTCCACATTATCTACATAAACCATGTTAATAGCATTTTCCTGTTCAGGACTAATAGGGGGCATAGCTTCATTATTAGAACAAACAATATTATGTAGCACTGCTGTTCCTACACTAATTGCTTGAGCTGTATCAAGATGAACTCTGAGACCCATAGCTAGAGATGGAAATCTTCTTTTCCAAACTCCATAGCTTCCCCCTATAACATTGCGAGTACGAATGATAGATTCATTGTATAATTCTTCAGCAGTACTTAATGGTGTTATCAAATAGCGTTTAATAGGATAACCTTTGTCACCAACCAACAAAGAGTTTCCAAAGTGACCTGATTCAAATTGTCTGCAGAGCTGACGATTTCTGACAATGTATGAAACTTGGCTGACCCAGGCCACCGACATACTATATTACAAAGCTTCAAATCTGCGTCAGAAACAGTTTGCACGTTCAGTGAAAAAAACTGCTTTCGATTTCTGAAGAGCTCTGCATGGCTTCCTCCGGGAGAAACAATTTTTATATGCGTGCAGTCAATTGCACCTATGCATCGAGGAAACCTACCTATGTTATAAAAGGATTGCTTTGCTCTGGCAAGAGCCTCAGGAGTGTCCGGCATTTTTATGTAATTACTTCTTTTACTCGCTAGTACTTTCGATACTCTTCGGACTGTTTTGGATGCAGTTGATTTGGAAACCCCAGCAAAATCTCCAGCAACAGTTAAAAAACTTCCATTGGCGTAATAGCGCAGTGCAAACAACAGCTGCTGTTGGGGCGTTAAGCAGTTATTCCTGGACAAAGTCATTTAGAAATATGGAAATAAACAATAATATATACATCTACCTGCTTGTATGATATACTAAATCTTCATAGACTTCGTCCAGGAGAGTTTCTACAGTCCTTTTTGTAGACGAAATCTTGCAAGGAAATCGAGGTCATCAAATTCATCAAAGTAATTCGGCCGATGGCGGATTATTTTTGGCCTTCTCGCGTCTTCGTCACTGCTATACGCTTCCACATCGTTATCCATAAACATGTTTATAGCTTAAATTAATCGATAGATTGATATGGATTTGTTGTGATTTTTTGAATAAACGTCAAAGTTTATGTGAAAAAACGTCAGGTATTGCTATTTAACTACAGCCTTTCTAGTTAACTCATAGATGGTCTTCTGGTTAAAGTTAACTTCCCTTTTACTATAAACATGATATTGAAAAACGCTTTTTCATAAATAACTATAAGTTAAGACCAAGGTCGTAGTTAACCTGCGATTGAAAAACCGGGCCTTACTCGTATAAGCTGTACCTTGATCCGGGATGACAGTAGATGGGGATCTCGACTACTGGTCGCCTTCACTGAGGTAGTATTCTTCTCAGCCTTTATC